AGTTAACAACACAAGGACTTCATTGGAAATTCGTGACCCAAAAGGCTCCCTGGAAAGGAGAGGTTTATGAACGTTTCATCGGATCGACCAAAATGGCGGTCAGAAAGGCAATTGGAAAACAACTTCTCAATGAAACCGACTTTGTCACACTTCTCCACAAAGTCGAAGTCGTTATCAATGAACGACTCATTACATACGTAGACAGTGACACCGTAACTGTCAATTGATTTCTTAAGTCTGGAAGTCAGTCTCAGTTGCGATTCAGGAGTCGAAAATTCATGTAAAGATCAATCAGCTCCACCACTTACTTCTAGAAGGATTTTAATTCAACACTGGAGGGAGTCTCAGCAATGTTTAAACCTTTTCTGGAACTTATGGTTACAATCTTACTTGCAATTCCTAAGGGATCGCACTCAAAGAATGCATCGTAGCTTACACGGAGAAGTAAGGCGGAGTCCTCAAATTGGTGAAGTTGCCATACTTCACGAAGAACGCAGACCAAAAGGCCTTTGGAAAGTGGCCCGCATGAAAGAGCTCAACCAGTCGGCAGACGGCAAAATTCGAAGCGCAAAAGTAGCTCTGGCCAATCAGCAAACACTCACTTGACCACTCAATCATCTTCTCCCACTTGAGGTAACCGATGACAGTAGACGAGATTCAGTGCAACATCCTCGTGTCGCTGATCCAAATATCGAAGAATCGGACCAATCAGACGACGAAAAGGAACCAAGCGTGAGACAAGCAGCCATTAATAATATAACACAAGCGCTTCAAGGCTGCACCTTTCCAAAATTTCTTATACTTTCACTCACCATTTTTTGTCTCGTACTGGCCAACGTGAAGGCCACAATGTCGCACGTGCAATTTTGTCCCTACATGCACAATGGGATTTACGTGAGGATGCTACCGTTTCGCAACTGCAGTATTGACCCGGGATCAAACTGGAAAGTAAAAAACATTACGATATACCAGAAACAACTTGTTCACATCCCAGCTACTTACTGCTCAAAAACTACTCGCACAGTATGCACTTGGGCATCCTTCCGAATTAGTCTCCAGGTCACAAATGACACGACAGTGGTATGAGGTATTCCCGCACAAGAATGCAAATTACTGGCAACGTCACGATCGATTCGGGGAATGGCTCTGCAGCCGCAAAAGGGTGGTCGCAAATGGAGGACACAAAATTCTGTCACGTATTCCTACTATCTCGTCGGAACGCACTGCTCCGAGACTATCAATTATTTAATGGAATATGGCGACATCGCATTTGTAGATGGCTCACACCCCATCACGGACTTCACTTGCACGGCAGGATGCAATCCTAAGGCCCAAAAATGTCTGACACGCCATGAGAGAGTAATATGGGACTGGAGTGCATACGAAAAGCAATGCCAGTATGCACCTTTGGGAACATACGCCGCTTACGTAAGCGAAAAGGAAGTCATAGTCGATCATTTGCAAGCGGCCTATATCGTCAAAACCCTACAGCCATCAAAAATAGCTCCAAGCTTTAACTTATCAAAGGTCATACTTATGGAAAATGACGTCGTCATAGCCTTCGGAAAGCAACCCATTCTCGGGCAAGAGGCGACCAGAGATCAACCTCGAACGTTTCTTGCTGAAAAAATAACGGAAAGCAAAGATCCAGAAAATGCAAGATTTCAATTCCCGGCCGACGCACCATGTAGGAAAAAGTATTTCCTTGAGAATAGAATTGGGAGAGTTATACTCCAATTGAAGCTTGCAACCAGCGCGCAGTAGGTGAGCACTTTATTGAACTGAACATGAAGAAACAAAACCAAGAAGGCTACAACAACAATCGGCGCCATGATGCAGATCTACAAGATCCAGCATCGACCAATATAGACAAAAAGATTACATTGTAAAAATGCATGCTAGCTTAACATTATCAAGAAGAGCTGTGTACGAGCGTTGCTTGTAAACAATTTTTAGCATACAGATAAAGAAATCAGATGATTTTGTATCGTTTTCTATCTCGCTGCCGCGATAGATGTTCAATCCTGTGTTCGCGCCACTTTTGAGTATATAAATGTTTTAAAAGAATTAGGAGAGTTTATTGTCGTTTCAAGCCTTATTCGGATATTCTTATTCTTCTTCAAACTTTTATTCTGACTTTCTTTCACTACTGTTCACATTTTATTCTGTTTCGTTCCTTTTCATCTCTCTACTGAATATATCCTTTTGCCTCTATTCCTCGATAGGGTTTCATTATTCTTTTAACGATTTATTGAATTAAAAGTTGTTTTATAGTTAGTCTCTTTCGTCGTTCACTGTATTTGCCTTTAGTATTTGTATTAGAATAAATTACTTTTCTACCTTAGCTATGAGTACAGTAAGAAAAGGTAACCCAAAGAGTGGGAAATGTAGGCTGATCTGTACAGTAGTAGAATCATTAGAAGCTTACAGTAAGAAAATTAGAGACGGTCTGGTACAACCGATCAAAGAATCATACTTTAAACTAGATACTGTAAGCAGA